GGAAGGGAGATGTGAAGAGGGAGTCCCAGAGTGATGAAGCTCTCGCCCAGTATTCAGTAGCCTCTTTACAAAGTACTAGGCAGTGAACTATATCTTCTACAGCGCCTTCGGTGCAGACTGTACATAATTCCGAGCTGTTGGGGTCTGCGGCTTTCCGCCTAGTGTGTAGCCATTGGTTCACCGGTAGGGCTGCGTACGCAATCAGCCACTGCAAACTTCTAATCTTGATTGGTCTGATGCGTTTGAACTTTTCCCAGTGGATTCGTGTGATTTTGTCTGCTTCCTGCCCGACGAGGTTCCGCCATCTGTTTTTGATAATAGGGTCTGGATTCAAGCCCGTGTTGTTTTCAGCCTGAAAGCCTGAAAACAAGGGCCTACAGGCCCTGTGTCGTTTCAGGCTAAATCAGGGCCTTTCCGGCCCTGAGTATTTTCAGCCTGAAACTGAGGGCCATTTTCAGGCCCTCATCAGTTCGACCTGCGCTGAAACTCAGGCACCACACCAGGGTTTTAGCTCAGGCCAATTTTGGCCTATTTTCAAGACAACCTTTGTTTGAGCTTCAACCCCAGGGTCTGGCACGTTTTGGCATTGGCAAGAGCAGCCTCCTGGACGGGCCAGCACTATATAAGACTGGCCCGCCCTGCAGGCTGCAGGTAGTTGGGAGGTAGCTCCTAGGTACTTCCCAGGCACTTCACGTGCAGGCAGGAGGCAGTCAGTAGTCTTCAGGATTCGGGAGCAGCACTCTGGAGGAGCGCTGCAGGAGTAGTTGTAGCGTTAGCAGTAGTCTTCAGCGCTGGGCGCTAGTAACGTTAGTTGTAGTCTTCAGCGCTGGGTGCCATAGCTAGAGTAGGACTAGAGAGAGAGAGATTGGGCGGAGGCCAGGGATACTTACCTACAAGCACCGTTGCTCCAGCTTCGTCTTCAAGGTACCTGCAGCACAGCGCCATCTTCACAGGTTAGTACCTGGCATACAAGAGAGAGAGAGAGTTCTTCTTCCTCTTCTCAGTCCACCATCTCCTTCTCACCCTCTCGCTATCTGACTTCAGTGCATCAACAGACTACTAGAGAGCGAGAGAGAGCTTGGTGATCTTGGATCCAGACTCCACATGGGACTTCAGACATTTCAAGAGGGATTATTTGGGACTGGTAACGAGACTTGGTGTTGACGACTTTCCCATCTCCCCCTTCCTCTTCTCCGTCTGATCCCCTCCTCTTCGTCTGTGTATGTCTGGATCTGGCGCCTCTTTCCTGTGTACAGCACCAGGCCCCCTTCACACCTTGTGATGGGCATGATGTATGTTTGGTCTGCATTGAAACATCGATTGGGCTAGTCATTAGTATTCTAGCATTCTGCTTCGCTGTCTTGTACTACGTGAATGAGGTCAGTCCCGGTCAGGTCAGGAATTGTATCTAAATCTTCCACTGCACTTTAAAACACCATTTTGTATGTATCGGAATGCACATTGCTTGTTGAGATTCCACTTGTACTGCATTGTCGATTCAGTCCTTTTTATCACATTGCGGATCCTCGGTTTATATGTACATCGCCCAACTGGGCATGTAACACTCTCTCTCTGGGAAAGGTATAGTCTATTTGTCATGCCTTAGCAAATTGCAATCATGTCTTTGAGAAGCGTACGGTCTCAGAGAAGGGTATAGTCTATGAGAAGGGTATGCCGTAGCAAATTGCAATCATGTCTCTGAGAAGGATATAGTCGATGAGAAGCGTCTAATGACTTCAATCTATGAGAAGGGTATACCTTAGCAAATTGTAGTCATGCCTCTGAGAAGGGTACTATAGTCTCTTTGGCATGGGATGGTCTCTGAGAAGGGTATAGTCTGTTTGTCACTTTGCCATGGTGTTGTGCGTGGTCGCCCGAGAAGTCTACATGCGGCTTAACAGCAAGAAACAATGTTGGTTACAAGGAGAATACTCGAAACGTTTCGAATGTTTTTTTAAGACGTTTGTGAAGGCGGCCTCCTTTTGCTCATATAATGAAATTAAAATTATGATATTTCTTTTTTTTTCTTTTTTTCAAAAACAGTTTGTTATGGCCCTGGCTCCTTGTCCATTCTGGGGACCATCAGTCCGGTTGCTATTCCACCGGCAAGCTAAATAGTAAAGACATCCAGATACACACTCACGCTTCCTTCCGTTTGGCCGATGGATCCCTGACCAGCATTGATTGCTCCTTACAAGAGGATTGACTGTCAGCTTGCCTGTCCCTGAGTTCCCTCTCAGATTCCTCGTTGGAAACTGTCAAAAATTACAATAAAGCAAAAAAAATATGTTATTTCTTAAGAAAGAAAAAGAAAAAGAATCCTGACCACTTTGTATAAATGGATGTGGTTATATGTGCGCAGATAACCGTTTGGGTCGTGTTCATCTTTCTGTATGGGCGAGTCTTCATGGTGAGTACACTGAGTACTCCTTGATATTTTGCCACTTTCCTATCTACCAGCATATCCAAGCCACAGTTTCTGCCACTTTCTGGAGCTCACCAATTGTAAAAAAGTGTCAATCATCAGCGGAAAAAAAAGAGCGGGAAAAAAAAATGGCGAAAGTGTCTCTTGGACTGTTGCAATGCCTGAACCAGCTGAGGGCATACTCATGCTGGGCCCTTATAAAATCCCAGAATGACAAAATCAGCGGCCAGATCGAGTCCTTTTTTTTCCCTATACTACTAACTAAAGGAAACAGCGGTCCTCGCGTGGGGCCCAACAGAAACCGGGCGCCTCCGCGCAGGACCGGTAAGGGGCAGCGGCCAAAGGGGAAGCAATGGAACTCGGGGCGAAACCGGGCGGCTTTGCGCGGGACTGGTAACGGTTTGCGGCCAAGCGGGAACCGGTGGAACACGGGGTGAGGGGGCTCGCGTGGGAGTGATTACGGCCGGCGGCCAATCGGGGCTGACGCGACGCGACGGGCGGGGCGGAGCGGGAAGTGCCATGAATCAACAACCGCTGAGGCGACGGGCGGGGCGGCGTCCTTTCGTGCGGGAAGGAGGGGGAGGAAGGGAGGGAGGGAGGG